TTTGACAAATTTGCACACATTCACACAACACTGATTAGTTCACACTTGCAGGAGATTCATAATGCTGTTCTCCTAGTATTAAACTGAACTGAGGCTACTTGTGGATTAGTGTCCAACGCATGGCAGAAACACAGACAGAGTGTCACCAAACCTGAGACATTTAGATCCACACAGGTGCCAGGAGGAGTTGACCCCGACTGCCCTCGCTGAGAAAGAGGATTACAACTTATTTCCCAAAGAATGTTGACTTCTTCCCAAATCTGTAGATTTAGGGGTGATTTTTTCAATAACCCTCATCAAATAAGTCCATTTAACTATAGGAAAGAATTTAGCCGTTTTTAATTAAAGTGGCTTTTGCACATCTCCACTTCAAAACTCTTGACCAGAAGTATGTCCAATGATTTGTGACATTGTTTTTTGTTGGAGTACTGAGAGAGAAACTATGTACTGAAAGATGAGGGACAGTTGTAGGAAGTGGAAATCAAACATATGAAGATGCCATCACTGCTGTTAATTCCAGAGGGTTTAGTAAAACCAACAGGAAAGCACGAGGGTGTATATAAAGCAATTGGGGCTCGAAGGGGAGACTAATGTGATCAAAGCGAACGATCAGCCATAGCTAATTGAAATTAAAGCCCATGAAATGAGAAGGTTAGCGTGGTTCACTGAGGCGCTGAGGATGGGAACACAGATGCCTTGAGGGAGGGCTCAACTGTGCCTGCAAAGAGCTACAAAGCACCCACTCATTCTTTTTACACTGTGGTTATGATATTCCTTAATGTTTGTGATATTTTACAAGCTTGGAGAGAGCATTTAGTCACGATTCAGCTCCGTGGGAAGGCAACAGCTGAATTTTGCTGTCAGGATCTTTTTGAGATGACAGCAAACTTGTTTACCGTCAAAGCCACAGGCTTCATGCATGATTTTAAATCAACCATCAACGAGAATAAGGCTAGAAAAAGTTGTTTAAATTGGTCAGATATTTATACCATATTCAGTGTTTTTTTATCAGTCAAAAACAACCAGATGTCTTCTTTTGTGCTGAAACACTAAAGTAAAACAGTCCATTAAGAGGTGCGACTGGCAAAGTATAAAGGAGAAAGGCAATAATTAACCCTGGGCTTACAATAGCTGAGTGATGATGACCACCATGTAACACATCTGTTCATATTCACCATTTAGGAACTCTTACTCATTTCCTCTACAAAGCAGAGACCTATTATGGAGGAAGTCATTCAATTACAACCAGCCATTCTCCATTCATTTAGGTTATGGCCCAGAAACAGAAAACACAATATGTAGACTATAGTTCATGGTGCTGTATTCGGCGAGCCTTATCTCCTCCAATCTGCTTATCAAACTTAGTCATATTTTAAAACAACATTACATAACAAAGAAGCCGAGAAGCTGAATGAAAAACATAAAAATGCAAGTTTCATTTCTAATTAGCAGGTTTAGTTCGGCTATTAGTTTTTCAGCTATTAATCAAGGTCTAGAGCTCAACAATAAGGATGTGTAATACTATCACTTTCTCTATGAATATGATTACTATTTTATTACTATTTATTAGCAACATGTGTCAGAAAAACATGTATTATGTATGTGTGTATATATATATATATATATAGTAACATATACGTAATGTTTCATTAGTGCATATAAATAAATATAATTTAGAATTTTTACATAATTTAAAATATAAAAACCAAATATATATAAATGAAATACAAATTAATATAAAATAATTTTACAAGAAAATATTAATAATTTACACATTTAAGGATTTCAATAAGACCTTGTTTGGAAATTTAAAAAAAAAATTGAACATTTATTTTACTCTTTCCCCACCATTGACGAGTTATCTCGTCTTTTTGAAGAAACCGCTTCTCCGCCAAAGACAAGTTTTTACGGCTTTTCGTGTTTTCACTGTTATACACTCGGGGGCGCTATTACACTTCTTCTGAACGAGTACAAGTGTTGATAAAAAAAAGAATGCTTTAAGCTAGAATAAAACTGATTGTTTTGTTTAAAAGTAGAGGCTTGGTGTATTGCATATTCAAATATTCATACAGCAAAATATACTGGAGGCCATCAAATTTTAGTGAAAATCACTGGCAGTGGCTGGCAACTTTTTTCAAAAATGCTGGCGGGGAAAGAGTTAACATTTGACAAAAACATTTGAGAATAATAGAAACAAATTAAAAATGAAGGTATTACAGCATAGTATATGGTTCCCCAACTGTTCCAAAACACTCACACTGACCCTTACCCACAGGGGCATCCTCATTTTCAAGCCCTGAGGTTCTATATGCATTTCACTTTTATACACGTAAAAATGAAATCCTGTTTTTCTTTGACTGTGTTAGCTGGACTTGCTACAGTATTCAGTACTAATGAATGCTTTTTATTAAGGGTTTTGTTCAGGTTCAGCAGTGCTATGAGCACAAGCAAAGCTCAGACAAAGAGATTCAGACTCTGGAAATGCCCCTCTTTATAGTCGTGTGGTTCTGTGCAGATGCCAAACACATCTCAGACCTGACATAATACGCTGCAAAAATGCAGACAGCATGGTTTGGGAAGATCTTTCCATAATAAAATGTCAAATATAACTACCCATGCAAAGCAGAGGGAAAATATCCAATACTTAACAATCAAAACACTACGTGAAGAAGAGCATGTAATGCTTTTTAAACAAACCTTACAATTATGGGAAGATCTATAAAAGCGCCAACATGGGGTCATAATGGCAGGCCTTAGAAATAAGTGATTGGTATAAAGGAACAGAAGTACAGAGCTAAAGATTGGGAGGTCTCAGCACGGCAAATAATGAACACGTTTATACTTCGCACGCTCAGTTAACCACAACCAATTCTGTTCTGTTGTCCTGTGTGGTCACAACTGCACCCTTCAACAAAACGCTCCTGACAGATATGGCATCTCCTATACAGAGACCGATAAAGGGAGCGACATGCAAAAAGGTATTACATAAAGCTCTACATCGACATGAGGGTGTAAGGGCTTAACAAGGGCCAATTTAGTTGCGGTTTCCAAATACAACGAGTGTTTTTGGTGCATTATTTTCTAAAAGGCATACGCCAAATATGACAAGCTCATCCTGCATGCATAAAGATGTGCTTCACTTCTCAGTAGTAAACAAGATTTTTTTGGTTATTTCAACCTGAAGCAATTTTTGTCCTATTTCTAAGCTTCTCAAAAGAATCATTCTTCACTTGCCAACAGCAAACAGGCCATTTACAGGCTTGGCATTCATTAAGGTTTGAAGATAACATTTAGTGAGAAAAGATTTCACCAAGCGGGGACGTGCGCTCCACCTTTCTATGCAAAAAAAGGGAAATAAACAGGCTGACTGTTACTGCAGAAAAGGATCAAATCTCCCCAGACTCAATTTCAGCTGCCATTCAAGACCATGAAACTAGCCTTTCTCTGTTTATTTTATTACTGCATCTTATTACAGCCAAGGTGAATTACACAACTGAACAGCCTACTATGAAGCATGAAACTCTTAAAATTAGTCTTAAAGGGATAGTTCACCCAAAAATGACAACTGTCATCATTTACTCCCCCTCATGATGGGTTTCATAACCTTTATTAATTCATTTTCTTCAATATATCGTCATTATTTTTTTTCACAGAAGAAGTCATACAGGTTTGGAATGACATGAGGGTGAGTAAATGACGACAACATTTTATTTTATTTATATTTTTTTCTGGGGGGTGAACTATCCCTTTAAGTAAATGAGAGCATGTAAAATTAAAAGTGGCTTAAAAGTAACGTCTGAGTCAAAGTGATATTGCTTTCTTGTCTGATTCAGCTTAGAGTGCACTGGGAAAGAAACCTGACTCTTTTTCTCTCTCTCCCCCCTTTCCATTCTCCCTCCCTTTCATTCTTGTTTTCTCTCCTCCCCCCTTTCCAAGGAGAGGCTCTTCTAGGCCCAAACGAAGGCCCACAGGCTGAAAAATAAAGAACGAGTCATGCATGGAGGAAGTGGGCCACCATTTCTCCTTAAATACAGCCATAACGATAGATAAATAAAGAAAGCCTGGCTCTTAGGGAGAAAATTAGATTTGGTTCTCTCTTCCCCTCCCACTCCTGGCCTTCTATTTTAGTTGCAAGCAGAGCACAGGCCTTTTTCTGGCCCATGGCTGCAGGAGCAATTCAGATTGCTGAAGGTTTCACGTGCTGTGTGGGAGGTGGAAGGGGTGCTGCTGGGGTCATCAGTGTAGATGAGCCCACATCTTGCACTAACAAAAATGGCAGCAGATTACAAAACATGATGCAAATGACAACAAACTGGTGCCAACGATTCATGAGAAAGAGCAGGCACGGGACAAATCTATCTGACACAGACTGTGAATGTGAATTCCTGTGAGCAGGGCTGACCTTATAAACATGCTTCAGGGCAAGTCCTGATTATACATCTGTATTTAAACCATCTATGCACTGAATAATCACACGCAGTTAATGTATGCAATTACACTAGTAAAGAAAGTTATCTTACCTAACAAACTGGAGAAATAATATATATTTACTATATATATTTGAGCAAAAATCTAAAATTACAGATGTTTTTGTTTGAATCCAGAACAATGGGATATGAAAAAGAATTTCAAGATATTCAAAAATTGACAAAAAGGATAGGCTTTAAGCTATATATTAAAAAATATATATACACATTTCTGAAAAGTAAAATTTTATTGTAAAAAAAAAACACATTTTGCATGATTTTTTTTTGCAGTGCACTGTACTTCACAAAACGTAAAAGTAATAAAGGTAAAAACAAGATTCAACCTATAAACTGACCTCTTGCTATGAATTCAGTTGATAAATGCAAATACACATATCTTTATTCAGACAACGCTGAACTGAAATAGCTATTGTTTCAAAGGTGTCACGCAATGGTTTTCACACAATGTTACATGAGACTACATGTGGCTGTTAGAGCAATGCGTGCAACAGGAATCTCCACAGCCCATTGCAGGCATGCATAAAAAGACCCCACTTAGAAAATGGTCTGCCTTCAATTAACATTATTCACACTTGATCTCAAATCTGTTCACAAGGCTATCTCCACAATCAAGGAGTTTCAGGATATTAAGTAGCTGGAAGTACCCTGTGTTTACTTGAACAACTATTCGTATTCACGACGACATTGAGAGAGGGAAAATAAACTGTAGGCATTAGGTCTGTTTGTGTTTCCGAACACAACCACTAAAAAAAGAGAGGGCTTCTCATAAGAGTCAAGAGCAAGCACAGGCCTCTCCAAGGTTCTCTGTTTTTCATTTGGAGCTTTCTGCTCTTTTTCTCCCTCCACAAATCTGAAAGACCAATACCACAGTAAATTAAGATATATGGATAGAACTGCCTCGCTCCTCGTAGGAGATTTATCTCTGTCTCTGTGTTTAATTGCCCCTGAGACTAATCATGAGTCTGTTCATTCTCTGGGTGTTGTGGAGGGTCAGGGCCAAAAAAAAAGATATTCTACACGTCCCCTCTAAACAACTTAGCAAAAAAAGAAAAAGAAAAAACAGACATAGGCTAAATGTCATAGATCAATTTACTGAATTGTGGTAACAATCCAAGCAGACTTACAAAATGGTTTATTTAAAAATACTCAACAAGTAAGGCAAAATTGCAACAAATAAGTCATCCTGATCAGTTATCAGCTTTGAATATTCAAAGTTTTCAATTCAGTCGGTTATAATTGTTTTAATATATAGTCTATTGATTAATGGCATAATTAATTACATTAATTAATTAATAAATTACAACAGCATTCAAAGGTAAAGTAACTGATTAAAAGTAGAGCCCCAAACATGTATCAAAATTATTAAATGTTTGCAGAAATAAATAGCAATAATGGCAGTAGTAATATTATTTTCTAGCATTGTCAATAGAATTACAATGAATATCCTTTTTTTAATTGCTGTGGTCATTTTAGTTATGATTGTGTCAACAAGCAGAAAACCGATAGTTCTGGAGGGGGAAAATGGGTTATTGGACACTTTAACATAAAATAATCTTTATGCATCTGTCAATGTCTAATGTAAAATATGGCATAAATTTGTTTATTTATTTTTAAGTTTGTAGTAGTAATTCATGCAAAAGAGATCATACAAAAACTCAGTCTGAATGTAAACAACTCAACATTCAGTCAAAGAAAACAGTGAGTAATCTGCCAATTACAATAAAAATGTAGCAAAGTTAATACAAAGACAACATCTCTATAATCAAGGACAATTTGTTTTAATTCAACTACTGACAAAGAAAGGCCAATCCAAGCTACACAACACAAGCAGGTAGTCAACGTGTTTTTTCACGATGCATGTTGGGACTTGACAACAAAACCCAAACACAGATGTTATCAAAGCAACCCCACACAAAAATATAATAAACAATATTGGGCAACGTAGACAAAATGGAGTGATTTACTTTAATGAGGACACGGCTGTTGTATAAAAAGAGAATATAATGTGGAAAAAAGGGCTGGAACAAGAAAATAGCAGACAAGGATGAAAAGAAGCATGTAAAAAACACTGTAGATAATAAATACCTTTCTTAGGTATTGTATTAATTGTCTGGTTCATCTAACGCGTAAATTTTTGCAAAACGAAACCGTGACATGAGAAACAAACTTCCCCCCTCTACTACCGGAAAGAAAATCATCACGCAAATATCCGGAATTCCCACTTAACGTTACCTATTTGATGAAGCCGCTCAAACAACTCAAAATCCTTCCAAATTAGGACTTATGGCTCGTGACGAAGGTCTACTTCAAAGCGTGAATTCTAGAGACTTTCTGTGGTGAGGTTTTAGGTGATTTTCTCCTGCTTTCCAGAACGTTTTTCTCCGGTTTCTATCGTTCTTTTCTTTCTAGTTGTGCCTCTGTGTGAGAGAACATTCCTCTCGTGCGCGTAACGCGATGAGCCCTGATTCAGTCCTCCAATCACAGCAGCGCGCTGCTGCAGCCCTCCAATCACAGCAGCGCGGCCGAGCGCGAGCGTTCTACTCGCAGACCCGAGCGGTGAAAAACAAGCAGGAGAGACGCGCTAGAGAGGGAGAGGACGGATGAATGGGAGGGGGTCATCCAAAACTGAGAGCCGCGGGTGCCATCTGCTGTCAATATGAGGAAGAATATAGTAGTAGTTTAGCGTTTACATTAAAGGGGTCATATAATGCTTTTTTGAATGGGAGGGGGTCATCCAAAACTGAGAGCCGCGGGTGCCATCTGCTGTCAATATGAGGAAGAATATAGTAGTAGTTTAGCTTTTACATTAAAGGGGTCATATGATGCTTTTTTAAAGATCATTATTTTGTGTATTTGGTGTAACACTATTTAAAACTAATAACAAAACAGTAGCTGATTCAGAAGTGCCAGATTGTCATAGCAAAGTCAGAATTACCTCCTCTCCTACACTCTTAAAAATAAAGGTTCTTCACGATGCCATAGAAGAACCTTTTTGTCTAAATGGTTCCATAAAGAACCTTTAACATCTGAAGAACCTTTCTGTTTCACAAAAGGTTCTTTGGGGCGAAAGAAGGTTCTTCAGATTACAAAAAGGTAAGAAAGAGATGGTTCTTTAAAGAACCTTTGACTGAATGGTTCTTTGTGGAACCAAAAATGGCATCGCTTGAAGAACCTTTTGAAGCACCTTTATTTTTAAGAGTGTGGCTTCACGAAACGGTCGTCCATAAAATGCATTGCTGTTCTGTTGTAAGTCATCTTAAAGATTTCTAAATGCATCTACTTTCGGAAGGTCTGCTTCAACACTAACTGCGGTTACTGAAACCACGCCTTCTTTCTTTGCGTGAACATTTGGGCGGCATTATGCAAATATTTCCACATAGTGAGGTAGATATGTGGGGGCGTGTTAGAACGAGCCGTTTTAGGGGGGCGTGGCAGAGTCTTAACTTTGATAAAGAATATCTCTTTGGTTTTGAGACTTTAGTCTTTGCAACTTCAGGGATCTTATCTATGCACAATCAGCTTGTAACACTCCAAAGAGAAAGGAAAACTTGAAATCGCATCATATGGCGATTAATACATATATAAATACATATAAAATAGGTGTCCATTTTTATATAGGCTATTAGTGAACGTACACATAAATGTGTGAAGAACTATGAAAGATGAGCTAAGAGTGAATGACTTATCACTCTGAATTTTAATACCATCTACAGGTCAGTTATTAGTGTTGCAGAAACTGGCTGGGTGAATAGGAATATTGCCAGAATCTACATGTGGTATGAATTTATAGAAACTATGAAATTTTAAAGAATACACCTCCGTTCAAAAGTTTTTTTTTTTATGTTTTAAAAGAATTATCCAATTCTTACCCATGCTGTATTTATTTGATCAAAAATACAGTAAACTTTTAATATATTTTAAAATGTAATTTATTTTTGTGAGGATAACCCGAATTTTCAGCAGCCATTACTCCAGTCTTTAGTGTCACATGATCCTTAAGAAATCATTTTAATATGCTGATTTGGTGCTCAAGAAACTTTTCTATCAATGTTGAAAACAGTTGTGCTGCTTAACATTTTGTGTAAACTGGTCTTTTTTTTCCAAGTCATCTGCAAAAGAGGAGCATTTATTTGGAAAAATATGCATCCTTTTTTAAAGTATTCAATTCTTAAAAATATGTTTTTCTGAAATATTACTGACCCCAGCATTCTCAGCATTCAAATTTAAATGTGGCTAAATTTATCTACGTATAGGAATTTACTAGTGGCCATATTAAAGAACTCTCAAAATAACACTCAAAATAGTTGATCCAATAGAGAAATTAAGAAATGAAATGCAGTAATATCAGAGGTCTTTGTTTCTTGTGTGACTGATCACTGATGAGCTGTATCAGAAAACTTGAAATAATGGCCTTTATGACGCTTTTTGTATTTCTTGGAGCCCCATTCACTTTTATTGCATGGAAAACAGCAGTCAGAACATTCTGTTAAAGTAATCTTTCTCCCTGTCCCATAGAAGAAAGTAAGTCATAGTGGTTTGGAACAAAAGAGTAAATAACAAGTCACAATGACACTTTTATTTATTAGGTTAAAAGTAATAATGTTTTATTCACATTAACAATAGTACATTTGGTTTGTTTTTTAATATGTGCTGTGGTGGATTGCAGTGGATGTGGTACATATATTTGATAATTTCTCTCAGGGTTCTTTACATCAGTAAATCATTCAGGCAATTTATTATTCAGAAATAATTTAGGATAAACAGAGCAGCCAAAAAAGAAAAAGAGAAACATAAAATGAAAACGAAAATGACAAACTGAGCACTATGCACTGTTTTAGTGGCTGAAAGTTACATGAAACAAAAAGACATATGAACATCAAACACAGGAGCTGTGTGTTCACTTACAGGCTTGTTTAGAACTCGAACTCTAACATTCCAGTCGCTACACTACTCCTCTCTGCCTTTTGCACCCTCACTTTACATCGCCTCCAGGTTTCCTTGTTGACTGTTGCCTCAACTCCTCTCCAGTAACTTTGGTTTGCATTTACCCCTGGATGTTAAGGATCTGTGCAGACAGGCCGTGGTGCCAGTTTTTCAGTTTGGCAAATCGTGGGCCTTTTACCTCTGATTCAAACTTCTCCCTGTAGAAAGTATAAAGAAATAAATTAATAAATGATTTAACTTAATCAACAGACCTTTTTGTGCTTGAACCTTATACGTTTAAGGCCTGGTCTTGTCAAAAAGTATGCTTAATTGTACTGAATACGTACTTTAGTGTACTACAACAGTACTTAAATGTAATATATTTTAATGAAATAAAAGGCCTTTTAAGGGCAGGCTATTTAAAGAGTACATTTTCATGACTATGTTTAACACACTTAAATACACTCTTAAAGAGTTAGTTCACTCAACAATGAAAATTAGGCTGCGTTTTACTCACCCCAGAGGCATCCTAGGTGTATATGACTTTCTTTCTTCAGACGAATCCAGATGGATTTATATTAAAAATGGTCTTTGATCTTTCAAGCTCTATCATTGCAGTCAGCGGGTGTTGCATTGCTTCAGTCCAAAAGAAGTTAAATAAAAAATGCCCATCCATAAAAAAAGTCTCACACGGCTCCGAGGGGTGAGCAAAGGCCTCCTATAGCGAACTGATGCGTTTTTGTAAGAAAAATATCCATATTCAAAACGTAATAATCACTTGAATCTAGCTTGCACTCACTGTTGTAAACAGAAGCAGTTCCGCTGGAATGACGTATGAGGTCAGCTTTTCTCATGCGCCGTTCAGAAGTGACGCAAGCGGAAACGCAGCGGAGAGATCAAAACAAAACAACGGTCAAGAATTAGAAGTACAAAATGAGGATTTGTAAAGAAGAATGTCAGAGGATTTTGATATATGTCAAGAGGAGACTGTTTTTCCTTTGATAAAGTAAGGAAACTTTGCTTCCTTTGATCCTGTAAACAAACGTTGGTTTTCACGAGACTCACTGGCGCATGCGCAACACTGATCTCATACGTTATTCCCCCGGAACTGCTTCTGTGTACAACTGCTGGCGCAAGCTAGATTTAAGTGATTATTACGTTTTGAATATGGATATTTTTCTTACAAAAACGCATTGATTCGCTATAGGAGGCCTTTGTTCACCCCCCGGAGCCGTGTGAGACACTTTTTTTTTTTATGCATGGACGTTTTTATTTAACTTCTTTTGGACTGAAGCAATACAACACCCGCTGACTGCAATGATAGAGCTTGAAAGATCAAAGACAATTTATGTAACTCCGACTGGATTCGTCTGAAAGAAGAAAGTCATATACACCTAGGATGTCTCGGGGGTGAGTAAAACGCAGCCTAATTTTCATTTTTGGGTGAACTAACCCTTTAAGTACACTTTGCAATAAAATCAAATTAAAAGTTTTACATTGAAAGTGTTATATTTTAGTAATATTTTGTTGTGCTTTAAAGAAGTTCACTTATATTGATGTGCTGACTAACATACTACAACACATGTAAAGTACTTATAATTTTTAACTTCAGTATTACATTTAAAGTTAATACATTTTAAATGTACTAAATTGCAACTCCATTATAACAAATATATTTAAATACATACGAATTTCAATAGACAATAAATTAAAGAATATTTTAGTTTGCCATAAATGCTTGTTTAAAAAAGTACACTTGTACCATTAGAAGCAATTATGAAAATACATGTAAAGATGTTCTACTTTAGTGGGTCAAAAACACTCTAAAATTCATGTAATTGCAGTTAATATACATTTTAAATAATGCATTTTTATTTTAATGTAAATATCATGCAGTTAAGTGTCCAAAAACATTACATTCAGTTTGCACTTTTAAAGCATAGCATTTCCTCATGAGTTCTCTTTTTAAAAGTATGCTAAAGTGTACTTTTTCACAAGGTTGAAGACAGAACTCAAACAACGTGGATTACCTTGATTTTCTAAGAGCCTCCTCATCTGGATCTTGCACTGTGATAAATAAAAAATGAACACAAGTCAATTGTTACAGGCCTGGTCTCAAAAAATAAAGTATAAACCAATGTTTATCACGCAATCACTGTCATCTTATGTCAGCATGTCTAAAACATGTTCAATTCAAACCAACTTCCATTTCACACAGTGTTGTGATAAAGAAAGGCTGTACTCACAATACTCCGTTCCTGTGATATGAGCAAGGACACGGAAGGACTTGGACTGCAGGTTGGCGGCACGACGGGCCCACTCTGACATCTCCATCTCCTTATTGTCAGGTTTGATCACAGCCTGGTAGACTGGAGAAGCACTGTCCACAAGAGGGTCTTTAATGGGAAGTGAGCTGCTCCCCAACAGAGAGAAAGGGGGAAAAGATGATTAGTTGTTCATCCGAGTTCTCTGAATTTGGGAACATCAAGTTAAATTGACAAAAATCATAATAAAAAACAATATTTGTTGAAGTTATCTCTGAATTAATTCACATATTTGTGAAGATGTGCATAATTTTACTACAGTTCCATTGTAGTGAGAGATCTGTGATGAAAGAATGAATTAGGATTTGATAAAACTGAGTTCCTATATTAGGAGAATGTAAAGCAAAATGTTAGAGGTTATGTAATTCTCCCCTGGCAGATATACTCAGAACATTCATATTTTTCTTTATAGAAGTCCATTTACTTACATATTTCCAACAGTATAACATGGTAATTGAAAAATTACCCAAAACATCCACTTCAATGATTATGCAATCAGCCTTTAACAGAGAATAAAACATGAGACATGAGTCAATGCGGCTGTGATGGATCTAAATAGACTGTGGCTACTTACGCCAAGGGAGATCCAGCGGCGTCATCACCACTGTCAATCACATGATGAACCAGGATGGGAGGGAGCAAGTCAGAGCAATGTCACATGGAAGGATGGGAAATGTAGTGGGGGTGAGGCGAGGATGAGTGATGAGTAATGAGGAATGGGTGATTGGTTGTGGATGGAGTGACATAATTGCAAGCAGAAGAGGGAGGAAAAGCACAGATGAGGTTGATACATATGACCTTGTGGAAGCCTAGAATCAGCCCAGCCTAGATGACCGATAATGAGATCTTACTGTTATAAACACTGCAAACTGAGTAGAATTGCATTGTAATCAAAAACATTAAACTGCACACAAAAATATGCAGTAAAGGAATACCTTACTTTTCCCCAACATCTCATAACAAATTGCAAGAATACACTTTCTTATTTTTAATAAATTGCTGCAGGGATGACTTATTTTTACAGGCCTAAACCCAGAAATGAGTTAGCATTTTAGTTTTTCAGGTTCCATCCTCCTTATTTCATATTTTTTGTTTTTTATAAAGCCTGTGGTTAACATAAACTCAATATATTTTAACATTTTATTCTACAACACTTCAATACATCGGTAATACCCTCTTATGATTTTTCCAAACTTTTACTGGTTTTGTATTGTATTTTTACTGCGTTGTATTTTTTGTTGAGGGAACTAGGGTGATGCTAATGGGTTGGCCAACTAAAATACGTCATCACTGTGTACTTAATATTGCTACATACAGTGGTCCTAAAAAGTATTTAGACACTTAGATGAATAGTTCACTCAAAAATTCTGTTATTTTCTCATTACATTTAGATCAAGCGGAGTGTTAAACCGTGGCAACCAGATCGTTAAGTTAGTGAGGTGCACCGGATCAATCTAATTCATGAATATATTGCTCAGGGCTGTGCTTCTCAAAAGCAAAGTTTAAGTACACTGTAGAAACCACTGGCATTAATGATTACTACAATCTACTTATGCTCACAATGCTTTTGGGAAATGCATCCCAGACCACTTTTTGGTACTGGATCAATCAAGTCATTTAAAGGATGAAACTCAATAGAATTATTTGTTACTGTATTGAACACCACTATACATGAAAAACTATTCATAAGATGTAGCATTTGAGTTACTGTACTTTTCATGATTTCCAAGTTTTCCTTCACTTTCATTGTACTAAAAAGAGCAGTATGGAGGCTTATTTCTGCCACAGGAAAAATTAAAAAAGTTGGTGACTTTTCATATCACAATTCTGTCTCTTTTTTTAGAATTGTAAGATATGAACTCAGATTTGCATGATATAAACTCAAAATTCTGAGAAAAAAAGAATTCGGAGTTAGAGTAAGCAAATAATAACAGAATTTACATTTTGAGTGAACTTATTCCTTTAAAAACATCACTGCATTAAATATTGAAATATAATACTGTTTCTAATGCAATGACAGTCATGTAGTGTGGCGTAAATGTCCATTTTGGGGCCACTGCATCACTTACCTCAGCTCTCACCTAAGCATCAGTGTAGTAAAAAGTGAAGTGCTGGACAGGAATGGAAGACCTACCTCATCTCGTTTCCTCTGGCTTGGGCCTGACCAGCAATGGCATCCATAATGGCATCCTGAGAATACATACTAATAGGAGTGTTGTACTGGGCATGGATGATAGTAGCCTTCCCACCAGGACCCTTGACCTCGATAGGCTTGTGAGTGGACAAAGCTGAGTCCTTCAGTGCGATGGGGTTGAAGCTGGGAACATACTCTTGGCTGTCAGAGTTCAGGTGTGGGAGTGTCAGGGGGGCGACAGTGTAGAGGCGGGTGGGTGATGGTGAGGAGCCAGAAATATCAGTGAAAATAGGGAGATAGATATGATTTGACAGTGAGAACAGTTTGATTTAGACTTGACTTACCTAATGCTTCTGTATCATTAAACAGTAATGAGTTTTGCATTACTAGTTTAGATGTTTCTGAAGTTAAATGGTTTGCACCAGCCATTAGTTTTACATTCTAATGAAATCCCATGTGTAAAAACACAATGTCCTGTATAACAAATGCATCTGGGCTTCCTAATTGTAAAAATGCACATGGCATGCAATAGTTCCCATTATGATACGCCAAAAAAAAAAAAACATGCAAAGACTCATTGAACAATAAAACTATAACCAAAACCCAACAACAGATGTATCTAGTTTAAACACTTAACTCAAAAGCATTTAACATTTCATCATGTCCGAAATGTCAACTTGTTCAAAATATATTTTGAACATTCGGGAATTTAAAATATAAGCATGCAAACCACAACCACAGTACTGCATGTGGCCATGCTTCAGAGCACTCAGATTCACACGCAACTCTGGAGATTTTATATTCAAAACTGTTACTGACTTGGCAGCTGTGTTGGCAATGACCTGAGACGACATAGAGGAATATAGACAGAAAAAAAGATAAACAAAAGAGGCAATGTTAGCCTTGGTTTGGCAATGTGCTAAATGATAATGAATCCATGTCCATGTAAATTAGCAGGAAAAAAACAACAACATGGAATGCAAATGCTTCACTTTGTCTAAAGAACTTGAACCTGAAATATGAATATATTTTACCTGTTAAAGGACAGTTCACCCTGTTATTTTCACTTTCATGTAATTTAACCTGTATGACTCATTTTTTTGTGTAACACAAAAAGAAGATACAGTGAAAATTGTCACAGGTTTTCAGTATTCTACAAAATATCATCTTTTGTGCTCTTCAAACAAAAGAAAGTAGTACATATTTGAAATGACCTATGGGTGAGTAAATGATCAGAGTCATTAAATAACATTTAAATATATTCAGGAATTCTTGTAATCTGTTGTGCCATGATGTAGAGTAGATGATGGTTATTACTGGTCACATTTCTCATGAGAATGACATTCTGGTTTGTTCCTAGAACAGATTGATTGACAGGAACAGGAGTTTGGTTGCAGCGGGACACACGGAAAACACTGGAGCTACATAACACTCATACTCCCATTGAACCAAATAACCAATCCAGTCGTGTTATTGTTAACTTGAAAAAATTGTTTTTGTTCATTGAAATAAAGCGGAAATAACAGAATATAAATGTTAAATTAATAATATAGAAATATTGCCTGGGCAGCCAACAGAAATAAGTTCAAGAACTTAGAACTAAAATGACTTAAACTAAAAGCTAAGTAAATAAATAAATAAAAATGACAAAAGCACATAACAAATTAAATAAACATTACTTAAAATATATAAAATAAAAATATAAAATATAAATATATATATAAAAGCTATGTCAAAATATTAACAAATACAATACATATAAATAATCCTAAAATAACATTTAACCAATCACAACTCAAAGACACGTATTGCTAGTTGCATGACAACAAGGATCAAAATTTAGAGAGTACGTATCAGTCCACTCGTACACCTAGATTAACCAAAGTCAATGGATGCACGTGCCCTGCTCAGCTGTGCACGTGATGTTGCCTAGCGGGAATTCTGATCCTGTGAGCTGCAAATAGAGGATGGAATACGTGATGGAATCATTGCGGTAGGACTTCATTTGGGATATACTGTTACAGGAGCTGTGACATTCTGAGCAGGTTAAAAGAGCCAACGAGTGCACATTTGCACCCATGTTCAATTACGGCTCAACTTGGGCCCTGTGGGAATATCCTCACATGCTGCTCTGACAATGATTTAGGAAGACCTCTTATGAAGCTACTAAATGATGCCAACACATTAAAAAGATGAAAGCACCATCGTTAACATGTTGGCATTATTTATAAGCCAGTTTATAAAAGCTTGGCAATCCTCATCTAATCGCAGGAGATGTAGCTCTTACACGACTAAAATAACCATAGTATGGTGTCATTTGGACACAGCTTACATTCATAGATACAGATACGACTTGGCCAGACCCTGCTCGTGTTGCAGGATGGGGGTCAGGTGAGCCTTATGGACCACTGGTCCTAGTTCTGCCAAGCACATTCCCAGCTGATCCGTTGCATGTGAGAGTGGAATGTGCAGAGGTAATGACGGAATGTTCTGAGTATTCTTTGCCACAGTTTTGTTAAAGGTAATGCAGGGATACAGGTGAGGCTAGCCAATGCCTCCATGACCTGTTAGTGAACTAGCTTGTTAAAGCAGATTTGGTGGATGTGCTCATTAAGATACAGATTTGTGGGTTAGGCATCACATTACCTACCCCAGCAGTGGCAGGCCATTTAGACTGTCTTGTTGCATTGCCATTTCCCTTAAAGTTTCTGCTGAATACAGGCCTACGGGAGAATTATACTGTCCCATCTGGTTTGGGGTGGTTTTTGGCCCTTGCCTGAATGGCAAATAAGTAGGGACAGGGCTTTTAGCAGGAGAATGAATTACAGGTTGGATATTCTCCTGAGGTTTCTCCTCAGTGTTTGGAATGAGAGATTTTTTGGAAGGTTTTTTGGCCAGGAGGATGCCATATTTTTTGACAGGTTTCTCTTCATCTTCTCCTTCCTCAGTTTCCGTGGTTTCCTTATTGTAAATAAACCATTAGATCAGATAAACAAATGAACCATTAGCCAAAATGGCAAGGCATAGAAGAAAAAGATGGTTAGAAAAGAGGCAAATGAGGCTTGAAGAAACACTCTAGATCAGAATTCATCTGGCAACAACAATGCAAATGAGTACTGGACCAGCAGGAAACTTATAAGGATTTCAAATGAAGTGCTTACTGTTGCTTGACCAGCAAATGCCTGTAGAGGGAGTTAAGTGTCAGCTTTACAGAGAATGTTTGTTGTCACAATCCCTCCACTCTTTTCCTTCTCTCTATGATATGGGCTTGGAAACTCCCATGACTGATTAAGAGGATTATAAAGAAATGGCTGGCCTATTACAAAAAATTATCATTTGGTTTTCTTCAACATGTTTGTCCCCTCCATACAGTCCAGTTATATTTTACACCACACTGATAAAATATCAACGACATAAACCAATTTGTTTACTGTGCCTACTTGGCATAGGAAACAGATGGACAGAACATGACTTTACCTTCTGGTGAGGGATAATTGGCATGGGTGAGTCCATTCTTGGAGTGGCTGTGGGTACAGGAGCGGGACGTCTCGACCTGGGACCAATACAGAATTCAGAGCAAAGGTCAATCATGCAAAAACATTAAGCTTTTGTTTTTCATGAGTCAACTTCTCCCTTCGTTAATTATTAATATGATTAATTATTGGTTGTAAACATTAATGTTTTATCGTCATATTACATTTTTTTTATATTATTATAAAAAATTGTCTTTGATCCTTGATAAGAAAAATATCCATATTCAAAGCGTAATTATCACTTTAATCTATAGCTTGCACCAACAGTTGTACATGGAAGCATCTCCGGGCGGATGATGTATGAAGCGGAAGCACAGGGGAGAGATCAAAACAAAACAACGGTCATGAATTAGAAGTACAAATCAAGGATTTGTAAAGAAGAATGTCGGAGGATTCCGATATAAGCCAAGAGGAGGCTGGTTTTCCTTTGCTACAGTAAGGAAACTTTGCTTCCTTTGCTCGTGTTAACAAACGTTGATTTTCACGAGACTCACTGGCGCATTCGCAACGCCGACATCTTACGTCATCAGCCTAGAATTGCTTCCATGTACAACTGTTGACGCAAGCTAGATTAAAGTGATTATTAAGTTTTGAATATGGATATTTTTCTTACAAAATCTCATTGATTCGCTACAGGAGGACATTGTTCACCCCCCGGAGCTGTGTGAGACACTTTTTATTATGAATGGATGTGCTTTATTTAACTTCTTTTGGACTGATGCACTGCAATACCCGCTGACTGCCATTAAACAGCTTGAAAGATCAAAGACAATTTTTAATATAACTCCAATTGGATTAGTCTGAAAGAAGAAAGTCATATACACCTAGGATGCCTTGAGGGTGAGTAATTCATAGACTAATTTTCATTTTTGGGTGAACTGACCCTTTAAGGTCCTCTATTACAAATACTTATGTACATATTTTTTTAGTGTGTAAATATATATATATATATATAAAATACAATTATAAAATACATTTTATTATAAATTATATTTGTAATAATTGAAATAATAATTGAATTGGCACAATAATTAAAAAAAAAAATTGTTCTTGAACTGGCCATAAGTTCCTGATCAATGTTCCATATGATTTGAGAATGATATAATTATTCTGATCCAATGCAAGCAAGAACATCTGACCATCTGTACAAAAGAGTTCACGTGTCCAATGACACAAATTTGCTTAATTCATTAGTGGTGTAGAAATACTTCACAATTTTAAATATTATTCTAAAACAAAAGTCTTTCATTTATAGTTCAAAAGTTTGGGGTCAGTAAGATTAAAACAGCAAGGATGCATTCAATTTATCAAAAGCCATAGTAAGGACAATTACATTGTTACATAAGCTTTCAATTCCAAATAAATACTGTTCTTTTGAACTTTCTATTTAACTAAGAAAGTAAAGGTTACCACAATTGTTTTCAACATTGATAATAATAAGAAATATTTCTTAAGCACCAAATCAGCATATTAGAATGGTTTCTGAAGGATCATGTGACATGTGGCATCATGTGGCTGATGAAAATTTAACTTCAGTCACTGGATTACATTTTAAAATACATTAAAACAGAAAACAGTTATCTTAAAGTGTAATAGTATTTCACAATATAACTGTCTTTATTGTAGACAGATAAACATATTTCAAAAACATAAAAAATATTCAGACCCCTAAACATTGTTTGAATGTTGGGGCACATCTCTCAAAGACACAGTTCTCATTAAGTCAGAGACAAAAAGGCTATAATGAATCTCCAAAAACTCATCATTTGACCTTATCCCTGTGGACAGGACCTGAAATCATGTCGCGTTTCAATTTTCTAGATTTTTTAAATTTTCTCAATTTTCTTGGCCCAATAAAATCTTAAACAACAAGAAGAAGCACTCATTGAGTGAGTATCTTGTAAAACGCCAGCAGCGTTGCTGTATAAGCAGTAACACTGGGGGGCTCTTCACAAGCCACTAGGCGTGAGAAATTTCTCGGAATCCATCAAGTGAAGTCCAGGGAAAGCACATTGCTGAAAATACATGTGTACCCTGTCACTCCTCCTGAGATGCTTTTGATTGGAGAGGATCATGGAAAGATGGTGCAAAATTACATCAATCGGTCAATGATAAATCTGTTATATCTACCAAATCAAATTAAATGCAGCCAATATCTACCATATAATATACAATAACACTAATATCCACATGTATATGAGAACGTCTTCCACCTTGTTCCAACGAATAAAGGTGGTTGTTGTCAATAAATAAGGAGAATCAACTAAGCTTCTGAAAATCACTCACGACTGAAAGACAGAGACAGAGGAGGAGTAGCTTATAAAAGTGAACACTAGAGCCAGCATTAAGAAATGTCACAGGGTAGCTGAGGTATTGTGAGTAACATTTCTTCTTTTTGCTGTAGTGCAGGCGGCCACATGAAATAACTTAATCTTCTTTCGGATAGAGCCTTTGGGGTGTCCGTACTAATTTAATAAACTATATTAAAAAGGTATATAAAAAGTCTCCTGAATTTAATTTCTCCTTCCCCCTAAACATCAATGCCTTTCATTGTGCATGCTGGCAACCTGAAGGACTACATGATACCCAGGTGATTTATCACAGACACGTTTTTGAATTCAGTTGTCCTGTCAGTATATTTGTATGCTAACCATCACTCGTAGTCTGTGTCAGCTCAACTGTGACTGCTTATATCACTCATGGAGCTGTTTAATTGCAGACAACTTTGTTTGCTTGCCAGACTTGTCTGCTGCCAAAGTAAATGAGATGCATTGCTGATGCCCTCTGAGAAAACCCATTCACCAATGAACATAATGGGAAATCGTTGGATGGAAAGACTAACATGTAGTTTAGTTTGAAGGAAATAAAGTAAGTAAAAAGTCATCAAAAACATAAAACGCATCAAAAGGTTCTGGTGGTGTTAAGGTTTACCTCTGCATGGTGAGGTTGAGTTTGGTGGTGGCTGCCTTTATCTTGTTTTGGGCCTCCAGATGGGTCATGCCCTCAGTGCTGACCCCATCGATCGCTGTAATTATGTCACCCTGATTGAGGTTTCCACTTGCTGCCTTGCTGCCTTGTGTGATCTGTGGAAAGATATCAGACATTCATTAAATAATTACAAATGACAGCACAGATTGAATTTTATACACACAAAAATCCAATGGAAAATCATCATGGCTATAGAAACGGATTCTGTATTGTTTGTTTGTTTATTGATAATTACTATCGAATTCATTTTCACACACTATGCTTGCAACAGTACACATATTTGCATGGAACATCAGTAACATTTAACTGATAACTTGTCACTATCAAGTGCATTAGCTGATTCTGAGCAGCCAAACATAAACAATGTTCTCCTCTTTACAAAAAAATGCTTAAACTAAATTTATTACATTTGGGATCTTGAAAATCTGTGAAAATCTTTAAAAATTAGAAGTGTTCCTTGAGTGATCTTCTAGCAAGAGCTCTTGAAAAAACGACAGCATCATTGCTGTATAGGCACAATGGAGCAGAAGCACTGGAGGGCTTTTCACAAGTTCATATAGGCATAAGCCATACCAAACATGAACGATATTTTCTTCTTTAGTGAGATTTCTTTTAAAATATTTGCTCAGAGTATCCATTTGCAGCTTAGTTCTTTTGTATCTTCAGACATACATCTGAACAAACGTCTTCAATTATTCAATTAGAATGAAGTGATTAGAATGACCGTAGGACATAAGTGATGTGTGCTAAACATTTATAAAAATGTTTCTGAATGGGCATCAAATACAAATCAAAACATACTGTCAGACTCTGTTCCATGTTTTGTGTGTGTCTTGCTCCCCATGTGCCTTCTTATGCCCTTATTTGGTTAGTTTCCTGTTCCTGTCCTGATTAAGTTAATTTGTCCCAGGTGTTTCCATTGATGTTTCATTGCTCCCAGGTGTGTCTCGTCATCCCCTCCTCCTGTGTGTATTTAATGTGTTCCCAGTCCCTAGTTTTCTGTCCGCTGTTAAATGAGTTTGTCTCCCTTGGTTCATGGAAATAAAGTCTTGTTAAAGTATTCTCTAGCGTCTCCTCGTTCCTCGTGTGTGTGCACCGTGACAGAACAGCGGACCCAAACCGAAAGTGAGTGGCGACTTTTTCCTCGCGTTTGTTTTCCCCCGGCTTTTTGAAAGTTTTTTTGTTTCCTAGTTTTCCCCCCCGCGGTGATGGAAATTGCCGCTCACGTCGCCGCCCTAGCTCGCCTCGATCTCCCCTTCTACGAGTACGCCAGGGAGTTCTGCAAGCTCGCTGAGGTGACGCGTTAGGGGACGCCGTCCTCAATCAGCTGTTCTGGCTCGGGGCTAACTACCATCGCCCTGTGGATCTCCCAGACACCACTGGACTAACTTGGAGGGAAGGAGTTTTCCGGTGTCTGGGGAGTGTCCGGTCCCGAGCCAGAACCAGTCCGCCGCCGTCCGCGGCTTCCCCAAGTCAGCCGAAGGACGTTAGTGTGGCAAGCCCCAAGGACGTTAGTGTGGCAAGCCCCACGAACGAATATGTGCCAGCTCCAGTCCCAGAGCTCACTCCGGCTCCAGCCCCAAACCTCACTCCAGTCCCAGCTCCTCGAAGGTGCTTTGCTGTCCCTGCTCCTCCAGAGCGCCCTCCAGTGCCAGCACCACGGAAGTGCTACCCTGTTCCCCAGTATAGCCCACGAAGGGCTCCTGATTCCCCAGTCAAGCCCGGGAAGGGCTCCTGTTCCCCAGTCAAGCCCGGGAAGGGCTCCTGTCCCCGAGTGTAGCCCAGGGAGGGCTTCTGATTCCCCGGTTCAGCCCAGGGAGGGTTCCTGATCCCCCGTTCAGCCCAGGGAGGGCTCCAGGCCCCCGAATACAACCCCCTACATTTCTCCCAAGTATTTTTTTGTGGGGGGGGTACTATGGCTCCAGCCGTAGAGGCTGGGGCCGCGGCCTCGGAGGCGGCTCCGCCATGGCCTCCCGAGTCCCCTGCTCCGCCATGGCCTCCCGAGTCCCCTGCTCCGCCATGGCCTCCCGAGTCCCCTGCTCCGCCATGGCCTCCCGAGTCCCCTGCTCCGCCATGGCCTCCCGAGTCCCCTGCTCCGCCATGGCCTCCCGAGTCCCCTGCTCCGCCATGGCCTCCCGAG